TGTCCTTAAAGAGTCCTTAATTATCATTTTCCCTTAATTTTATTTTTTATTTGAATTTTAAAAATATTTTAATTAATTTATAATATTTTATTTTATTTTAATTTTTTAAAATAAGGCTTGCGGGCTGAGCCAATCAATAAGGCTAGCCTTCAAAAAAAAGAATAAAAATTGAAAATTTGAGCTTAAGGACTCAAGCCTCTATAATGACTAAGCCCGCTAGTTTTCTAGCTCTCTTGAAGTATTTTGTTTTCACAGTCCCAGCCACGAATCTAAGCACCTCAATCTCATACACACACAAAAAAGTGTGTGAAATTTGAAAAGAAATTATAAATTATATAATATATATATATATATAATTTTAAAATACAATGGGCTACAGATTTTGAAATAATTGTGTGAGGATAAAATAATTTTTTATAAAATAAAAAAATTGAGTACAAATGATGATAACCAATTCTAAAATCATATAATTGTTGTTTCTTTTATTTTCTAAACTAAGATTTGCATAGGAAATAAAATTACAGTTATTCCAAAATCAAATAAAGTAGCGAGACAATAGCTGGAAGATCTATCTATAGATCTTAAAGACCAGGTCAAAAAATCTATAGATGAATCTTAAGTAATTGTTGTCGGATGTGGACTATTGATTAAAATAAAATTTTTGAGTATAAATGATGATAACAAATTCTAAAAAATATAAATTTTTGTTTCTTTTATTTTTTAAAGACTAAAGATTGCATAGGGAAATAAAATTACAGTTATTCCAAAATCAAATAAAGTAGCGGACGATAGCTGGAAGATCTATCTGTGGATCTTAAGTAATTGTTGTAGGATGTGATCTATTGATCAACATTAACCATATGACTTTTCTTCTTCTTCTTCTTCTTCTTCTTTTTTAAATTTGTATGCTTTATTTTTTTAATTCTTTTAAACTTTCTTTTGTACAAAATTTTAATGTGATAAAAGAAAAATAAAGGGATGACATGGGGCCATAATAAGCTCTGGAATCTTACTGATACTGGCAAATTTATTGTCAAATCGGCCAATACTGCAAACTCAACTTAATGATTGAAATTCAATTGACAAGACCTAGTCAAAAGTGTGGAAGCTACCAATGGCTCAGAGGGTTCATGCTTTTATTGATTATGCTAAAGGATAACTCCTTATTAATTCAGAACAACACCGAAGAACGATGACCCTGACTCAAGGTTGCTCTTTATGCAATTCTAATGTTAAAATAATCAATCATGCTCTCAGGATTGCCCTTTTGCTACATCTGTCTGGAGAAAAATACTTCCGACCGACATTTGCACTGACTTTTTTGGGAAAGATGTACGATCTTAGTTTATAGAGTGCCTGAATAATTCTCAACTGGATATTTCTTGGAAGATTGTGCTAAATATACTTGTTAGAACTTTAGAATATAAGGAACAGACATAGTTTTACTAATAAAGTTTTTTTATCTCTACAAGTATCCTTTCCAGATTGGTGCTATGTTAATTACACTTTAGATGGTTTTTCACTTATACGTGTTTGATGTAATTTTTGAGTTTGCTTAAGTGTTTTTCTCAGGAACACCTTGTACAGTTTTTTCTCTCATTGCTATTGAATATCTCATTACACTCAAAAAAAAAAAAAGATTGGCGTTGGACCTACAACATTGAAAAGGGGGACGCGTGAAACACTGAAACCTGAAAAAAATTACAAATTAAATTAAATTAAATGTTCTCCCCAATGTCCTTTGTTAAAATGGCACTTTCTAAAAGTATTTCTTAGTTTTTAAATATAAGGCATATTATAGGATATTAATTATATTTTTTTAATATTATTTTTATTTAAACTCATTAAATATGATAGAGAATGTAATGGAAATTAAAAAAATTATTTAAATAGTGTATAAATTAAAAGTTTTGTTTTATTTTCAGACAAAATTAGTAACTTAACTATTTTTTCTTTCTTCATCCCAATGAGATAATTGAAGGTATCTTATAATAGGTACCAAAGAAGTATATGAATAAAAATTTTTAAAATAAACAAGTAGTTGGTTATATTTTTACCGGCATAGACGATAATAAATTTTAGAACACATTTTCAAATAACAAATTATTTTTTTATATCCTTTTAATATAACACGCTACAGGTTGCTCGAAAAAAAAAATACACACGCTACAGATTTTGAAATAATTGTATCCGAATAAAATAAGTTTTTTAGAAAAAAATAAATGAATGATAACAAATTCTAAAATTAAATAAATGTTGTTTCTTGGGAAATATATTTACCGGTCCTCATAATTTTTTTTCAATTTAAAATTAGGTCCCTCTAATTTATTTATTTTAATAAATTTATAGTTTGATTCATTAAATTTTCTAATCCATTAAAATCTTTAAATTTTTCCTTTAGAAAATAAAATTAAAGAATTTTATTTTTTATATAAAAATTATATAATTTTAGAATTAATTATATAATTTTTATAACTCAAAATTTATATAATGAGGTTTTGTTTTAAATATATTTTCAGCACATAAAATTTTCATAAAAATTTAATAAAATGTAAATATTGTATTAATTAAATTTTATTTTTATTTTTAAAAAATATTAAATTAATTTTCTATAAACTCTTAAAGAGTTTTTGTTTTGAGAAAGTTAATAATTCATTATTAATTTTAATTTTTAAGATTAATATATTTATGGATCAATCTATATCGGACTTAATTAGAACAAAATAAATTATAGGAATCTATAAGGACGTTCAAATTAATTGTTTTCTTTTCTTTTATTTTTTAAATGAATAAAATTATAGTTATTCTGAAATCAAATAAAGTAGCAAGACAACAGCCGGAGGATCTACCTGTCCATAGATCTTAAGTAATTGCTGCCGGATGATCATTACTTTTCTAGTCTTTTTTTTCTTTTCTTTAATTTTTATACTTTATTTTTTTTAATGTTTTATATTTTTTTTTCAAAATTTTATATGATAAAAGAAAAATAAAGGTATAACATTGGGCCATAATAAAAGGTAGGTATACGACCAACGATAAAAATATAATAAATAAATAACCTCTAATGAAAAGTATACTCTTTTTGTTAAAAATGTAGGACATTTTTAATTGAATCTCACTTTAATAAAGTAATTACTTATCTTTAAACTAACTATATTTTTTCATATTTATCCCTATCTAATATAATTTTTCATCTAAAGATAATATAAAGTGATTTATTTAGTAAGAATACTTTTTTAAAAAAAGAGACAATTATTACACATTAAAAGACTAAATAATTAATACCTTAAAAATGTCTTTTAAACATCCAACTTCTCAAAAATGCCTTATATTTTTAAACAAAGGGAGTATGTGTGAAACCTGAAAAGAAATTATAAATTAAATTAATTAACATGTATATTTTACCAAGTTTAATTAATATGTATATCAATAATTTTTTTAATAAAACGATTTGTTTTATATTTTTACATGCACACACACACATATATATAGGATAACAAATTTTTAAACGTTTATTTTTACATGCATATAGGATAATAAATTTAAAACACACTTTGAAATAACAATTTTTTAACATTTTAATATGCACGTGCTACAGATTTTGAAATAACTTGTGTTGGAATAAAATAATTTTTATCACCATGGCATATCAATAGTGCAAGTTTATAGACTCACATTTATATATACACATAGGTTTTAATTAGTCATAAGTTAAACCGTATTAATGGACACAATGCTTTGAGAAGCAACAATCAAGCGTTTCACTCGGTGAGGAAAGCGTTCAATCCAACTAGTTAAGACATTCTAATAATTGACCGGAGTTAACCCGTTTGAAATGGGTAGTTTTTTTTGCAAGCAAAACGGCAAAAACCCAAAACTCGAAGCAGGAGTGTGTGGCTCGGGCGGGTCTTTATAGGGGCAAACCCTAAACCCTTCAACTCCGCGTTCGCATTCGATGAGCACTGAGCACTGAGCGCTCATTAGGACGTGGCAAATCGTGGCATTTCATTTTATATTAAAATGATCTTTATCATTCATTTTAAAATAATATTTAAATATTTTAACTATCATATATATTAATAAAAATTATAAAAAATTTTGATATTAAATTTGAATTGTTTTCTGCCAAGAACAAAAACCATGATACTCATAATCTTTGATAAAATTAGGACCATTTAAATTTAAAATATTTTGTTTTTAATTACATTTTATCAAGATAAAAAATTTAAAAAAATAAAAAATTTTCTCAATTTATTAATTATTAATCTGATCAATACAAATTTAATCTAAATTTAATTTAATATTAATTTTTTAGATTTTTTATAATTTAAATATCTAAATATATTTGAACAGTTCAAATAGAGTTTGAATAACTTAATTTAATATTAATTTTTTTATAATTTCTATTTATTATCTACATGTATTTTAGATAGTCTAAATTTAACATCATAATTTTTTATAATTTTTAAATTAATAAATACTCCCTTCATCTTAAATTATAGAGTATTTTTAAAAAAATTCATTTCAAAATATAAAACACTTTGATAGATTAAGATTTTATTAAATGTATTAATTTTAATATTACCCTTTCTCACTCTATGATTAATTTCCATCCCTTCTCTTTTTAACATATTAAATGATGAGTATTTTAAAAATTTTATATTTTTATTTTAAAAAAATATAAAATTATTAAATATATTTAATGAGATTTATTTATATAAAATTTTTTTATAATTTGATACGAAAGAAAAATGATATTTAAATATTTAAAAATAAATTTAAACTGAACGGCACATATCATTTTAGAGTAAAATAAACAGTCATGATTTGGCCACGTGTGACTGAATGCATGTGAACGCTTCAAGTTCAATCACTGGCTCAAAAGTCAATACTGTTGACCTCGATACGCGGCTGCTCTTGTCTTTTTTCTGTTCTGTGATCTGGCGGACTTCATTGACTCGTGAGCTCTAGTCCTTCGTCTTCGTCTTCTTCACTCTTCACTCTTCAGCACATCAGAGCCGACGGTAATTCCAGTCTTCCTCTTCCGCACTCCATCTTCGTCTTCTTCAGCTCAGTAGCCCCGGCGGCAGACACCAGCTGGTTAGTTTGGCTTTATCCTAACTGTTGCTTTCCCTTCTTCAGTTCTTTGCTATGCTTTCTTCTTTTTCTCTACTATTTGAAAAACTGTTAAATCTGGTTCATTTAAAGGAAATTTCAAGCATCTGCAGTTGCCTTGGCACCGATTCAATTTTATATTGTGCATCCCAGTTGGCTTCCATTCTGGGAAATAAAGTTGAAAAAGTTTCTTAAAATTTCCTCCCCTGCAAAATTATGGAACTGATTGATAACAGTACCTGAAGGAGTTATAATCATTCACCACATACATCCAAAGCTGCATATAATATCAACATTCAACACAATATTCATCTCTAAGTAGTCAAAGCGAATGGTACTATGACACGAATCTCTAAGGGGTTAATTTTTTCACATTAACATGCTCATGTAATATTCATATTGGTTAGTGTTCAGGAATCCTTGGAAGGAATGATTTCTTTAGGTCCATGGGGAGGTCCAGCTGGTGACCATTGGAGTTTCAAGGCAAACAATGGTGGAATAACTGAGATAGTCATCCATGAGCAAGTCAATATTAAGTCCATTTCTTTCAGAGATGCTCATGGTCATATTTCTGCGACATTTGGAGGCAGGAACACCAATGATAGGGGTGAAGAGAAAAAGGTGATTTAATTGGTTATATTAATAATATATTATTATTCATTGTCATACATTAATTGATATCATTATTATATCATTTGTAGGTTCCAATTCGTTGGCCTTCAGAGTATTTGAAATCTATAAGTGGAACTTATGGAGATTACGATGGGTTTTTAGTAGTCAAGTCCTTATCATTCATCACAAATCTCACAACTTATGGACCTTTTGGATCAACTTCTGATGGCAAGCCTTTCTCTATCCCTATAGCAGATAGTGTTGTTGTTGGCTTCCACGGGAGAGCTGGTGATTACCTTGATGCACTTGGTATTTTTGTGAACCCAGTAAGTAATTCATTATTCAAATCTAACAGAATTTATATATATTTTAGTAAATCATGTATCCATTACGTTTGATTCTTCTGATTTGTATACACTAGTACTACAACATTTTTTGTCTATGACAACAAATAAAAATTGTTGTTATGGGGGTGAAAAAACTATTACCTTATAACTATATATGCAATGGTCAGGCATGGGTTTCTAGACACGGTATATATATGCTAGTGTTATCTAAAATCTAAGACAATGGACTTTTACAATCTATAGTCACGGAGGACAAAACCGTTGCCTATAGTCTAAGTTTTTGAAATTGGTAACGACTGTTGCTTGTTGTGTATTTAAGGAATAGACAACACTTTTTTGTCAGTTGCAAAGTTACTGTTGCTAAGCTAGCTTTAAAATATTGTAGTGTGGTAGTCACGGTATGAAAATCTGGGTCAACCTATCTATTTGAATTAATAAACTATTAAATTAGTATCTTGCCCTGTTCGCTTTACAATTCTTTGGTGATAGCAGATGACTATATGACCATTGGCTTTGGTGCAGGTACATTCACATGGAAGCATTTCATTTGGGCCATGGGGGGTCCCAGGTGGAGATGCTTTTAGTTTTAGGGTGGCAAGTCCATCGCTTTCAAAGACGCTAACGGGCACTACTACGGAAAATTTGGTGGCAACAATCCAAATGCAATTGGTGACAAAAAAATAGTGAGCTTATTGCCATTTAGTTAAATCATTTCTCTCTTTTAATTCTAGATCTTCCTTATTTAGCCAACCTGGTTTCTCTTGTTTGTGTGAGCTGATTGTGCATACATATTGCAACTGTATGTTAATGAGTAGGTTGAACTTGATGGGCATTCAGAGCATCTGATATCCATAAGTGGGACATATGGAGATTATCATGGACTCAAAGTGATCACATCACTGTCATTCATAACCAATCTTACCACACATGGACCTTTCGGAACTACTTCAGACACTTCTTTCTCCATACCAATTCAAGGTTCTCATGTCATCGGATTTCATGGAAGTTCAGGCTACTACCTCGACTCAATCGGCATCAATGTGAAACCAGTAATTTTTTTTATAATAATGATAATGGGTGTAATGTGAGTCTCATGCTTTGCATGGAGTTCACGATGAGTTATACTATTCATGACTTATATATGAATCATGCAACTATGTATGTATGCATAAGTTTCAATAGCTGAGTCAAATTTGTGATATGGCAGAGGAACATAATAGAAGGAAGTATTTCAATAGGTCCCTGGGGAGGCCGAGGTGGAAGTCCATGGAGTTATACAGCAAATGAAGGGATAAAGCAGATAATCATCCATGTAGGGTTAAACATCAAATCCATATCTTTCCGGGACACAAGTGGCATTACTTCAGCAACATTTGGTGGCTACAATCCCAATGACACTGGTGAAAGGCAAATTGTAAGCACTTGTTATTTACTAAATAAAACAAACTAGGAAAAATCACAATCAAGGACATGAGAAAATAATTAATATGATTGAGGACTACAAAATTTTGAATTAATTTATTTTTTATAATAAAAAGTTTAAGTGAGTAAGGTTTCGAGAATTCATAATTCACTAAAGTAAAAGCATGCTTCTAAGTTTAAGGAGCGCTTAGAGATATTTGCAAATCGTCAACTAATAAAGTTTTTATATTGGCATTGAGATTTAGTCATACAACCTTGCAGGATATTGGTCAAATCATTATTTATTGGACCAACCTTTGTTGGTATTTTTGAAATTAAATTTAAGGACCGTGGTATTTTATTTTTTTTTTGCAATTTAAAAAAATCATCGTTTGACTGAAAGACCCTTCACACTAGCTAACCAATTGTGCATTTTAAAGAAGGGCATTTTTGTCAAAGGATTAATTTTTAAACTATAAAAGTTCATGATTCTTAAATTTAATTTCATAATTTTGTGGTCCTCAATCGTTATTACTAATTTTCCAAGATCCTTTTGTAATTTTCTCCAACAAATTAAGCACTTGTACATGATTCATACTTTAAAATTTATTTTGGTTTATTTGTAGGTTCATATTAACTGGCCTTCAGAGCATCTAATATCCGTAAGTGGGACGTATGGAAATTTTGCCAGTTTATTAACGATCACATCTCTATTATTTGCTACAAACATGGCTACGTACGGACCTTTCGGAACCAATTCAGGAACTTCTTTCTCGATCCCTATAAACAATAATACGGTGGTTGGATTCCATGGAAGGGCTGGTCACTACCTCGACGCAATTGGCATCTTCGTTAAACCAGAAACCACAATTTAATTTCTGATATTTGTATGAACGAATGATATAATGATTGTCTCTGACATTTATAAATGCGTGGATGTGGACGTGTTCATCAATTAGTTGTGTCTTTCACTTTATTGTTTGGGTTTTCATAGCTCTGTGTTTTGCTTGATTTATTGATCGATGATGATTGTATTCTATATCCATATGGCTACTTAATTAGTGTGGTGGAATTATAAAAAAAAAATTGTATTGTAAAATTAAGGTAAAAAATATTTAGAAACTTTTTTTAATAAACTTATTTCTATAAACTTCGAATATCTTTAGGCCAATAATTGTACATAAATATTCATTCATTTTATCAAGAGTCAATCCTTTTCAATTTGTTAAGTTTTATTCTGAAACTTAAAGGTTAATGTTAAGCTATTTTAATAGATTAAGGAAGGTCAGACCATTGTTAATTTAATAAAAAAATACCTGAAACTCCTAAAAAGAAAATTCAAGTATTTTTATACCTTAATCAGCTACGTTATGGCACTTGTAGCGTTATATTTGTCTTAGGTAGCTTTAATTTGAGGACAGCCCTTGTTGCCCTAACCTAGATTCCTGACAATATGAGAATCTATGTGAAAGTACTTGAGATTTTAATTAATTAATTGACATTAAAAATAGACCAGAAAATTAATGGATAATTAGTGTTAACACATACTCACTCCCGTCCTTAATATACAAGACAAGTTTAATTAACTTCGCACTTATTAAGAAATGATAATTATATCATTAAAATGGTTGGAAAAAATATGTAACTTTTTAATTTTATTCTTCTTTGCAATTAATAACCATATTAAATTATCATCAAGGAATTCAAATCATAACAAATATATAGAGTAATAAATTTTCACCAAAAAAGAATAACCATGTTAAAATGTCGTCTAGGAATTCAAATCATAACAAATAAATAAAGAGTAAAAACTGAAAAAAAAAAGTTATTTTATACTCTCTCCGTCTCAAATTATAAAACACTTTTAGATAAAATCTCACATACTAATAAACCTCACTAAATGCACTTAACAACCTTATCTTTCCAAAACAAAAATATAAACTTTCTAAAATATCCATCATTTAATATATTGAAAAGAGAAGTGATAAAAATTAATCATAAAGAGATAAAAGATAGTATTAAAATTGATGCATTTAATTAAACCTTAATCTACTTAAAATGTCTTATATTTTGGGATGAAAAAATTTCTTTAAAAATACCCTATAATTTGAGACGGAGGGAGTACTAAGAACTAAAAAAAATTCAAATGTTGTCTTATCATAAATCTATGAATCAAGCAGGCAAAGCAAAGGTTTCTATTTTTCACGAAACAATTAATACATATACAAATGCTTTATCCAAAAAAAAATGAATACAAATGCCAATCATTACATTTGTTCACAAATTAAGTGGGTTAAAAACATTGATTGCATTTGTAAAGAAAAATCCAACAAAGCAACCTTCTCAACCTGCCCAGTGAAACATTATAAAGTAGCCTGCCAAGCACGCCTCCAATTTTGGAGTTGGCTTCTCTCCATTTCTTTCCCTCTTCATTTTCTCTCCACTTCTTATCTTAACCATTGGATCTATTTTTGAATAGTTCAGATTTGATATTTTATAAAATTATTATTATATTTATTTTTCATAAAATTTCACATTTTAATAATAATTTTATAAAACATCAAATCTGAACCATTCAAAAATAGATCCAATAGTTGAGATGAGAAGTGGAGGGGAAATGGAGAGAAGCCAACTCTCCCAATTTTGAAGCAGATTTATCCACTCAAGAACCCATCAGAGCTTCAGTAAAACCATCATTTTCTAACTCTACGACTCAGGTACAATAGAGAAGTCGATATATTTTACAGATTATCCGAAAATCTACATGTAAACACTTACTTGAGCTTACCCGAATCTTGTGTTTTTCTAATCCCAGCATGATGGCCATCCTTCAAGTCTTCAACAGTGGCCTTATTTTGCAGAATTCACCCGAGAGATCATTTATGCGCAGGTTGGTTCTTCTTTATCAAGGCATAGGCATCACTATAAATGGCCACTAGATTTGAGAAGACTGCCAGAACAATCATAATGACAGAGAGAATCTTGTCTGTTTTAGTTGCTATGTTGTATTGATGCCTGCATGGAAAGGAATTCTTGCTTAGCAGCAAAAACATCTAGTCAAGGGAAATCAGTTTTACAGTAAGAGTGAAGGATGATAACTATCATAACCCGCTTAGATTATAGTTTTTGCCTTGATACTATTACCTGCTTTTCAATTAAGCTTTTAATTATACTTCCTTAAAAATTTATCCAAAGACCATATAAAGTTTATTCTATAAATTATGGTTTTTCATTCATAATTGATTTTGGCATGTAAAGAGGTGTTTGGATATTTTTAAGAAAACCATAATTTTAAATTTATAATTGATTTTGACATAAACAGGGGTGCTTGAATATTTTTCACAGAATCATGGTTTTGCATTTATAATTGATTTTCTCATATAATAGGGATTTTTGAATATATTTTCATGAAATCATGGCTTTGACCTTTAAAAATTGATTAAATTTGGTATCCAAACATGCAAAGACTACCCAATTTCCATTAATTTCTTCCACAAAGAGATGTGCTCATTGAAGCAGGTAAGACATTAAGAGCAAGGACCAACAATTTTTTAAGCGTGTTATAGGGAAGAAGACAAACAGTTCAAACTTCAAAGTTCACAAAATGTTTGTTAATCTTTGTCTTCCCTGGCTCATTATATTCTTTCTGGGTGCCACATTGGACCCGCTAGAGACACAGACAATATACAGATACAGAAAAATAGAGATATTCATGTGGAAAAGTTTAGTGTAATGATTCAAATCCAAAAACTACATTCATGAACCATCTTCATCTTTGAACTACATAGCAAGATCCGTTGACTAAAGTCAGAACTGACCTGAGAGTGATGGCAGCTGGAAATATAAATCCTAGACATACCGCAGCTGTTGCTCCAGTGAACTGGAATGCATCCCAAATGCTAGGTATGAAATTTGCTCCCAGGAAGATAAGACCTATGAGGCCAGTGGTCATTGATGCAAATCTGAAGTTATCCAAAACCAACGGCCTTGATGAAGCAAAGAGAAGACCATCTACATTGACCCGTAGTGGATAAAAGACAACAGGAAATACAAGCATGAGGTGTGCTACATAGCTAAAACGTACAGCATCATTGAGCACAGAACCAAAAGGAATTCCAAGATCAGTATCAAAGTTAGCAAGCACATCATCAAGAGTCTCATCACCAAAAAGGAGGAACCCAAGAAGCTTGTGAGTAAGTAGACTGAAGAGCATAAAATAAGGGAAGAACGCACAACCCCTTGCATCTGACTGGAGTCTTCAAGTTCATTATTTATGTTGTGAACTGCAAATAAAGCATCTACACAGATCAATTATTGACAAGTTGATAAAATGCAGATATTGGTTTGCAAATAGACAGTGTGCAGACAGGTAAATCCTGAAAGCTGACAGTAACAATGTCATGCTCCAAGGTAATTAAAACATTAGGCAACAAGAACCATTTTTTAGTGATACTCGTGGCGTTGGTTTAGAATTGCCACGCCTACTTCAAACAACCAAGGATAAGAGGAAAGGACAATACTTGCATTAATCATGTTACTAACAGAATAAAGCATATGACAAACTTGGATGACAAGTGTTAAGTGTTTTATCTGACTCAGGGTGAATAGGAGGAATGTATGAATCAAATTAATAACCTGAACACCAATTTATCCTGCCAAGATTTGACACTTATGATCAGTTTTAACACAGTTTACATGATTCACTTCATTATTTCACTGGGCAGGAACAGGTCCAAAGGGTAAGAGACAAATTGTTTGATTGACTTCTCTGCACTCATACAAAATAATAGCCAACCTAGATCTAAATAAACTAGTTGTCCGCATCTGAGGTATGAAAAAGTAACTTGCATACCGTTGTAATGGCAGATATAAGCACTCACAAGCACAGGAACCACGGTGAACAGTTTGAGAAATGACATGAAATCAGTAATGACAGGAAAGAGTTTGGGCATCCCTATGCCTCCACTTATAATCTTGACAATTGAAATTCCCACAGCAATGACCAGAAAAACAACTGCCAGTGCAACTGATAGAGCAGATGTAAATCTCAATGAATCTGCAACCATTAGAGCAAGAGTCAATGATTTCATCATCAAATATGACACAAATATATTTGAATAAGATCTCTTTTCACCACATAACATACAGATAATAAAAAGCTTTAATACACGGCAAGTGACATGAATGAACCAGTATGGAGGTTTCAAAGCAATAGAATGCTCCTAAAACCATAACGCATATCTACATATCTTGTGAGATGTGATTCAAAATATACAACAGAACAAGTTACGAATTTTTCTTTTACCTGTTTTCTCTAATAACCTACCCCTTTCAGAATATGACTGAAAGCAACTACTAGGAGTACGCAACTCATCTCAAGCCTAAATGCTAAGTTTCTGTCAAAACTCAACACCTCCAACAGAGACTTCATGATTAATTTGGGGAAAAGTCCACAAAAAATCCTTCTTGTTAGCACTTGTGAAATGGAGGGTGGTCAGATCTTATGCTCCCCATTCAATGGTAGGTAATTTTTTTCATAGATGTTGTTCATGCAAAAAGAGTTTCACTTACATGTAATTTAATAAATGAGAGTAAGTGTTTGTAATTTTAATTTTAGGAAAGGAACTCACTCACCAATTCTCTTAAAGCTTACTAGTGGTGCAAATATAGCCAGAGTTGTAAAAAAATAACAAATGTACGCCCGGTCCACCAATGGACACCAAACCATCCTTCAAAGATTCCCGGATGATGATCTCCGTTTGATGATGTTCCAGAAAGCACATCACCTTTATTGTTAAAAATAAATAAATAACTTAAATAATAAAACAAAGCAATGATTCCAGGCTGAGTAATATCTAAACATATGCAAAAATGAGCAGATATACAGCCAAATATATTAAGCCAAAGACTCAAATATGATCTTACCAATTATAATCATGTAAACAATGAGTATACCAATGTTGTTG